ATTTTCAATGAGAAATAATTCTTTCTTCATTAATAATTTCATTGGCGATATACCACATATTTGTAACATGATTTTTATAGCTGAACAGCTAAAGACGATGTGGTTGTCGAAATATTTTATGAATTCGATTTTGATGTTGGAAAATACCTCAGTTCGATGAAATATATGTTTATGCTGCATCTCATTTATGGTTTCGTTAATGAAATTTTTACATCATTTGATTGCAAACGACATAACAAATGTTGACTGATCATCAAATAAATTCTTACAACGATTAGCCTTTCACTGCAAAAGCAAGAGTTTTTATTGCTATTCAAGATGTGATTTCTTCGAAAAAATTTATTTCACTAAATCGTAATATTTTGTTTGAGTTCAAGATTCATGCATTTGGAATTCGATTATTATTTTTTATTTCTACGATACATAAACGACATTTCTTCATAATGCTTTATTTCGTTTTTCTTATCTATTTGAAGCAACGTGGTACAGTTGGTTTTGGGAACCCAATTGTGCGAATAGAAATATCTATGTTCAGTTAAATCTTTGATAAAAGATTCTCATTCTTGTGTGCAGTGAACCTAATCAAACATCAATCTGATAGATAAGGGAAAAATATGCATATATATATATATATATATATGTATATATATTCATGAAAAATTATCGGAGAAAACGTTTTAGGCATCATTAAGCACTAATGGGGATATATTATGTACACTTTTTGGATCATTTTTTCTTAATTTTAATGAAATCGTTTTTCTGCTTGATCTCATCACTTTTTATCTAAATAAATTTTTTTCTCTGATTCACAGAATCGTGTCCAGAATGGATTTTATTCGTTTTAGTTCATAATATCAGCATACAATCAGTTTCCTTAAAACTAAGTTGGTTATATTCATCTTTTTCTATATTCTCTACTCGATCTATTGTTGCTTTCTTGTGTAGAAAACGGGCCATAAATTTTTTTTCATTTGCGAATGCGATTAATCTTAATATGATGGGAATCAATATGCCTCCGTTTATTAAAACTAATTGGTTTGCTTTATAATTTCATTCGATATTTTCGCCAAATAATTCTTCTATCTATTACATATGGTGGGAACCGTTTTTTGTCTCTTTTGTCAGTTATTTTAGTTGTGATGGAAATTTCTATCATATCAATATTTTATCTCTTTTCTTCGTAGGCAAATGGCAAACTTCAAAAATTCTCCTTTCCATAAAGTGGATCAGACATATCATTATTCATATACCAATTCTTTAAATGAATCTTCCTAAAGCATTTTGAAGATGAAGATGAATTTTGAAGAAAAAACCTTTTGCTGATGAGGTGAAGTGGCATATTAATCTGGTTTATTTCAGGCATCGTGAATATGATCCCTATTCTTTGGTGAGGGCAAACATTATTCAAAGTGAAATTTGTATGATGCCAAAGATCCACTAGTAACGACATTATTTTAGTAGCCAGCCAATCTAGAAGCGACGAGCATTATTAGGAGTGCAATAAGTCATTAATTATTTTCTTTCTATGGGTAAAATTGCGATTTTCTGAAATCAATTGATGCAACTTCATACTAGCTTCACTTCTTGAAACATGCTAAAAGTAATAACATAAGTAATAATAACATATCTGAAAATTATTTCATACAAAAAAGATTTTGATTAATGCATCCACGGCTGAATTAATCTCAGTAAATAAATAAATAAATGATTTTCTAAAATAACTTACTATATTGTACTATAATTTAGCAAGTAGTTGGCGCTCCAGATTTCTGACTAGATTCGCTCCATTTGCCCACAATAGAGACAGAAATTTTTGCCAGAGAGTCATTCTGTAGTAGAAATATACGTAAATGTCCATCATTTCTCAGATTTTTTAATAATTGGTTTATTCCTGTTGGAAATATGCTTCGAATCTTAATGCTCGATACAGCAGTCTGAACAACAATCAGCCATTCTCCTCTAAAGTAGGCAAATATTTAATGTTTAAAGTATTAATTGGAATTTTTTCGTCAAATTTTATACCTAAAAATTTAAATGTCACTCAAAAAATCATAAAAAGAAATTGTTTTCATCAAGTTGCCACTTGAGCTAATAAGATTTCAATGAATTCGATTCGTATACTAATCAGTAGCATAAAAAATTTTCATTATTTGCTAACAGCATTAGTTAATAACAAATTTCGATTCAAGATATTTTCATTTCAAAAATTTTTCTGGTACTTTTGCAAACCAGAGGCATTCCAAGCTTAATTTATTGAAAAGCATTTTTAATGGAAAATTAAAAAAATCAGTAATCAATGTAATCAATAAATCGTTTGTTCTAAAAACTGAATTTGAAAAAATTCATTAAAGAAAATTATTAAATTCATTATACAACAATAAGAAAAAAACACGATGTAGGAAATATGGCAGTAAAGATAATTCTGATTATATCTTTTTATGAAACAAATAAATAAATGGTTAATTCACCAGCATTCCTGGCTAAATATTTTCAACTGTTAGAATCATGCCATGCGCCAATTTTGACAGAGATTTAATTAGGTACAGAAGTACAGGATGGTCTTTTTTCGGGTCTTTTACCCCTCTTACTGGTTTAGTTAGAACCAAAAAGCTAAAAATAATAATCTAAGCCGTACGCATTTGACCCTATTGTCGTAATTATCACGAACATAAGCATCAATGTGAATTTTAAGATTTTATTTATAAATATGCTTTTGTATCACATTTATTTTACCAAGAAGCTAAAAATAACAATTTAATTTTAAAGCTTGATGAGACTGTTCGATTTAAGGGTGAGTAGCCATGATGGAAGTAGTTTAGATTATCCTGCTAAAATGCAGATGTTCGGATCCTGTCTCGGCAAAAAAACTGTCGCTCAAAAATTCTGGTGGTATAAATGATTCCTAGCAAAAATTTCTAACCATGTTGAACAATCAGCTGAATGAATCTAAAAATTAACTTTTACTTTCTTCACTGTCAATGATCAATCCGTTTTAGGTTCGATTCCTTTCAGTTGATTGGGATAAACCTCTTTTTTATAATTGGTTTGCGTGGTGCTAAGTACCCATCTGCCACATTTGTTTCCTTTAATGATTTTCACTCTGGCAAGATTTTCACCCTAATGGCCATTTGTCCAGCTTAACCAGAAATGGTGACAAATGGCTATTAGAAGCAGAGATTTGTTAAACTTACGCAAACTTCATTCATCTTATTAGAATAGAAAATTAGAATAGAATTTCAAAAATGAATACCTTAGTTTAAATTTGTCGCGATTGAAAATATGAAAATAATTTGATGAAACCTCTTATAACTTTTAAACTTTTTTGCTTTCATTATCTTTTAAGTTTCTAGCAATTTTCAAAATACGAAATAATTATTGGATTTCGAATGTCATTTTCTGTAAGAAAAAAGAAAGGAAAATAAATTTGTATTAACACAATTAGTTACGATTATAGCCATTTATAATTGGAATCTCGCTTGCGGTATATTTTCATAGATTTAAACGTTTTTATAAAATCTTTATTAATTCAAACTTTTTTTTCGCTTCTTCATTTTTCAAAGTTCCTTTTTCCATCGTTCGAATTTCATGATAAATTATTTATGAAATACTTTCATCATATTTTATTTCATTCTACTAATTTCACTAGTGTATTCCTTTAATTTTCGATTATAGAACATTTAATAAGCCGAAGGTTGCTTCATGAAAAAATCTCCCCATCGAGAGGCATTAGTCGATTAATAAAAGAAATAAAACTGAAAGCGAATTTGCCGTTTGACTAATTAATTTAGGCTATTGCTTAGCTTTCAATCTGGCACTAATCTTTCATTATAAAATTAAAGACGCATAAGCAAGAAATTTTTTATAGATTCAAATTATATAGGTTATACAGGTTTCAGTTATATAGATTATATAGAAGGAATCATACAAATTGCCACTTAATTACTGCCTAATACTTAATTACTTTGGTGCACATCCATATTTTTTTAGTTCTACGAGAATAAAAAACATAGTTGTAAGTCCAGTTGAAAAATAACAATTGTGATATTTTTTAAAGAATGCTGAGGACGAGTTAAAAAGCGAATGGTATGTTAAGCCTGCTTTAAAAATGATTGCTTTTCGTCAAAATATTTTATTAATAGTTCCATTCAAAATACCATCGACATCTCAACAAAATTTCATGACCTAAGTCTTATAGAATAGTGGAAATCCTTCAGTTGCAAAAAATTTCCTTGAGCTGTACGATATTTCGACTTATCACCTTTGTCAAAAAAGCAACAAAAGTGAGTAAAGCTGAACTTTAAAGATGAAGTTGAAGCATCGTATCTTTTCAACTTTTTTTCATCTATTAATTTCATTCTTGAATTTTTATTAGAAAAAACAACTATTTGAAATGGTTTGAAGTAGATAGCTTTTCAAGTGGATAGTTCGCTTAATCATATATTTGTGTCGAATTTACGATAGTTACATAAAATTAAGCGATTTGCTTTAAACGACGAATACAAAAACGTTGTTTCGCCCTTATTTCATGTTATCGTTTACAAATATTCCATTGCAGCGGTATAAGTGAACATTTTTTTCAAAAGTAAATATATTGAAAAAAAAGAATTTTTCAGGTTCAGATGGATGAATGATAGAAAAATGCTTTGTTTAAACGACACCCCTTTGTTCGATTTAACTAGCAATACAACAAGAAATTTTATTGATACTTTAGCTGCTTTTCAGCGGTATTTTCTAAATTATGCTTAATAAAAATTAATAAAAAAAATTTTAAAATTAATAAAAATTAATAAAAATAATGTAAAAATAAAATTGATAAAAATAATACATTTTAATAATAATAATACATTAATAATAATAATACATTAATAATAAATAATTCAACGCAGTCAACAGTAGGAGTAATTCATATGCAAAAGTTATTCAAATATTCAAATTTAACAAAATGGTTCACAGACGCTTATCAATTCATTTTTGTCAATTCACTTGCGGAATAGTTACCTATGCATTTCTACTTGTATAATAATAGTACAGTATTTAATATTCAATATTGGAAACTGCTGGTAGTAATTTTAAATTAAATGAAGTTTTGCATATTGCTAAATACTTAATGACTTAACTGATTTCATTTCATCATTTATTAAAATTATTCGCAAAAAAATTTTATTTTTTTCTTCAACTAAGGTGAAATGTTTCAAAAAAGGCATTCTTTGGTTCATATTTTATTTAGCTTTATTCCGTTCACATTCTAGTGCCTATGCACCAGTACATGGATATATTTGTGTGGCAATATGTGCATTTGGTATTGTGACAAATTTGGTACATGTACTCGTTCTGAGCCGCCCTAATATGCGATGTTCAGCTGTCAACTGTGTTTTAACAGCTGTAGCTATTTGCGATATGGGAACTATGGCATCTTATTTGATCTATATATGTCATTTCGTTTTGGTCAAAAATCCTTGGTTAGTTATAATACACAAAATCACAGAATTATGAGAATTGGTATGCAATGAAACAAAAAATGTTTTATTGCTTAGGCAAATCAATAAAATTTTTTGTAATCCCTTTACCAAGATTATGGAAGGCTTTTAGTATTCGCCTTGTAAGGTTTTTAGTAATAAAAAAAAGTTAATGCAAGGACAAGCGAAATTTATACTTATTGCATAAAAATCAAAAGAAATTTTTTTTGTACGATCTTGTTAAATTAAGCTACATCAACCTTCTTGAGCTGGGCCTGAATTCCGCCTTATGATATAAAGAGCTAAGAATGAAATGAGCCATCATTCCCTCTTTCTCCTATTGTCTTTCAACACTTTAAAGAAAAGCAGCTTTTGTCCAATGGTCATTCATTCATTATTATATTTATTTCATATTTTAGTTCGCCAATGTATTCGCACTTGTGGGTTCAATTTCTTCTGTGGCATGTAGTCTTTAGCATTGCACTACATACAACATCGCTTTGGTTAGTCGTTGCGATGGCATTCATCCGGAGGATGACATTGAAAAGGACAATGCTTAACAGGTAGTAATTCACCAGAGAACCATTATGTTGTTTATTTTAAATATCTACAATAATAAAACTTAACGCAATTAAAAGGATCATTGTATTATTCTCAGACGAATTTTCTTTTTCTTAGGAATTATCATTTACAGCTCTTTTGCTAAATTGCTAAAATAAAACGATATGATCAATCCTATCCTTTACAAGATTTAAATTCGTGCCTTCTTATTTTTTATAAGATAAACAGCTATTTCATAAATTTTTGCCTTTTTCCTATGTTCACCAGCGCATTAAACTCTTTAGATATAAAATAAAAAACTCATTATACGGCTAGACGTGAGGTCTAGGAAAATATACGACTAGGAAAATATATCTATGGCATTATTTATTAATTTCACCCTTATTAAAATTACAGTAGTAAGACGCTTGTGTCAAAAAATTTAGCCATTATTTTAAAAACCCAAAAAAATTTTTTTTGTACGATTTTGCTATTTTATTTCTATGTCTACAATTCCGTGCGAAAAAATACTACAAGATTTCTTCGCTCTTCTGCATTGTTTAATTTTTTATAATCATTCTCTGTAAAAAGTATGTTAAAATTAGTGGAATTTTTTACCATACTTTAATATTAAAAAGTGTAAAAAAAATCGATTTTTTTACTTTATTCATTTCACAATTTGATTTAATCTTAAATTTTCGCGAAAAATATAGTGTAAAAGCATAGAAGCCAAAAAATATATAATCCTGCATAAGTAATGATAATCTATAATCTATGTTCACGGAAGTTTAAACCATGCAATGGTAATTAGTTGAGCTTTACAAATTCAATAAAAAATATCTAAATAATCAAGAAAATAATATCGCTTGAACAAATTTTAATTTAAAATAAACTAATTCTAAAAGAACTCTTAATGGAAATTAACCTTGCTCCTTTAACTAGTCCTCTCAACCAGTCCAAAGCTTGCAAAACATTAATTACTGATTAATGTCGGCTTCGATAGACTGCACCAAGGATTTTTATATAAATTAAGAAGCGATCGATTTTATATTAATTCATCCGTTCAATTTTCACAGAGATGAAAATTTTTCTTTGGTTATCTAATGCAGTATCCCTGAATTAATATTTCACCAGAAAAATTCAAAATTCAAACATCTTCATTGGTTTGTTTGGCATCAATATGTATCAAAATCCTTCTCTGATTAATATCACAGCTAATTCCATTAGAATACCACAGCCTTTGTGGCTTTTGCCATTTAATAATTTAACATTTCACAACATGATATGCAGCAGCCGTAATTCAACACTAATGAAATAGTTTTGCCTTATCGAGCCAAAGATTCACATAATTTTAGCAGAATTAAGCTATTTTTCAAGTGTTGAAAGACACGTATAGAAGAGATTGCCTTAACGGAATTTTTGCCTTATTTTTACACCAGTAATATTATCATCACTGCCTGATTTATAAAGGCTTGGATTGGGATTATACGATAAAGGCCTGATAAATTTGATTTATTCATATATTTATTAATTTATGGATATTTATTTATTGGTACTGATATTTATTTCATCTCTTATTTCCCAATTTTTAAAATTTACTATTTAAATTAAGTTTTTCATCTTTTGCTACTTAGTATTTTTCAATTGTTAGGAACTGCATAGCCCCAGTAAGAAGCTATCTGTCGTATTCAATCTATTGTATCATTTAGTGGATGGCAACAACCGAAATTCGCTTGGAAAGTCTGTCTTGCGGTATATGCTAGTGTATTTGTCTTATGCGTCCCGACACTGCTCGTACATGACATCATTGAATATTCTGCAGATTGGAGACCTCCTACACGTTGTGCAAGTAGTTATCCAGAAAACTACACAGCAAAACTATATACTCTTCATGTATGTTAACATCTAATAATCTGGTTGAATAATCAATTTTTTATCATTTTTTAAATCGAAACAAACTTCGATTCGCTGCGGAAATGTACGAAATTCAATGCCTCCTATTTGAAATCATTTTCCATAAAAAAATGTTAGTATTACTGCAATATTTAGCAATAAAATTCAATTGATGCTTACTTTTTTCATTTTTAAATTTGAATCATTTTTTCGAATCTTCCATGTATTGCACAATACAGAAATAAACTGTGCTCACCATCTCTGAAAAGATTCAATCCACTGTAGCAACAGATCGTTAATTAAAAAATATAGGTTATTGATAGATTTTTGAATAATTTTCATTATGTTAGATTATATTCCTATACTGTTTTAAGTCGAAGCTATGTCCCAACAAGCTGAGTAAGAAACTGAACTCATCTTTAATTCGATCATGTTTGTTAACCAAAAATAATTCGCAGTTTTATATAGTTTCTACTTCTGTCATTTTCCAAGAAATTTAGCTTCACATGTGAATAATTATAGCTATAAAAAAATTTTGCTCTAGCACTATAGGGAAGAGTTTAATAAGAGTTTTATGCATCATTAATGATAAGGAAATTAGAAATTCACTGACTACTTCTTAATTTTAATTCTGATAGGGGTGGAAACCTTCCAATTCATTTCTGTTTTTTTAAAACAGAAATGTTTTGGACACTAAAATTTGCTTAATTTTTCTTAATTTCTACGCTGTAAACTCGGAAGATTAGAACGATTGATCTCTTTACCTACAGGTTCCTGAATCAGCCACTGCAAATGGATGCCGCTTCTTCAAACTTAATTTGTGGATGTCGGGAATCATTTTTAAGGTTATTTATATTTATATTTTTGCTGATTGGAATACAATTTAATTTTTGATCTTAATATTAGGCGCCTTCAATTAAAATAATAATTTTAGAGAAAAGCTTTTCGGTAATAATTATTACAAATGCTTTATGAGATTTAGGTGATTCCATGTGGATTATTATTCTTTTTGTCGATCGGCATCGTATTGAAATTACACGAAACTCGGATGAAAAGAAAAAAACTTTTAGATACAAAAAAAATTGCAGCTAAAAAGTTTGTTATATTTCATGAATTATTCAGCTTCAGTTGTTTACGTTGTATTAAATATTTTTTGATCATTTCGTAATTTTTCATCCTCATTAAAAAAAAAACATTTAAGACTTATGGACGAATAAATTGTATTTTTGATAAAATAATAAATTTCATTTTAACGGGGCTAGAAATTGTTGCATTCATTCATTCAAAAAAACTAAAATTCTTCTTTTTTAATGAAATATTACTGATAAATAAAGAATCAAAGTGTGATAAGTATTCGTACGAAATTTACTAGTAGGCTGTTGATAGTGCAAAATTAAATTTCAGAAAAATAGCCGGGATTCTGATCTAATGAACTTTTGCTAAAATTTTGGTCAAATTGATCGGTTCGACTAATCCATGAACATATTAACAATATAAAGAAGAAAAAGGAAGAAAAAAAGAAATTTAATAGATCATGAAATTCCAATAACCTTTTGGTTCTTTATCTCCGCTAAAACCGTTGACAAAATAAATTAACGGACCAAAATCTAATACATAACAAAAAAATTCAAAATAATTTAATTTTTCAAGGCATTCACGCAAAACTGATCGAACAACAGCAATGCTTCTTGCGATATTAGTTGTATTTTTGATAACAGAATTACCTCAAGGAATTTTGGCGATACTAAACGCCATATATACTACTCATGTACATATGTATATCTATTTTCACTTGGGCGATATACTCGATTTATTATCGCTGTTGAATTCTTCAATAAATTTTGTTCTTTACTGTGTCATGTCTTCTAGGTAATATGGTTTTTCGAATTTCTTTAGAAAATTTTAAAGTTTTTAGTTCTAATTTTCTGCAGTATTAAAAAGCTATCTGTTTTCGATTCAGCAGTTATCTTTATCAAAGATTAATAATCAGTGCTCGCAAAAAGATAAAAAAAAGTTATGCATACGTAGTACCACTGCGACTAACAGTATTTCTGAGTATTTCAGGTATAGAAATACATTTTGGACAGTCGTGTTGCCATCACTTATATATAAGTAAGTTTAAACATTGGTTTTTTTCTTAATATAGTATAGGTTTTACAAATAATTTTTCATCACTATAACTTGGTTGATTTTTTTTCTTCACAATGTCTTTATACAGAATTCATTGAAACCATTCAATAATATCAATGAGAATAAAAGTTCTTTTTTTTTCGATATATATATATATATAATAGAAAATGCCTAAAAATAAGAAAAAAAGAGAACAAACGAACAATTAAAAATTCGAAGAATAGGAATAAAAAATTAAGTGAACTCGGCACATAACTTAGTTTTATTTAAAGTGACAAATTTAGTTTACCATCAAATTCATCATAAAATTTACTTTTTCTGAATTTTCGTTTATTTACTGGAGCAATAAGCAATGAAATTTATAATTCTTTTTAATTGAATGTTGAATGTGCGAATTTTTCAGATCATTTTGCCTGGAAAATACTGTCGAAAAGGAACCATCGAAGTCGCACAGATCTAATCCGAAATGCTGCACAACCCCATTTGTCAACAATAACAACTTTGTTGAGAACAAAAATAGCCCAAAAAATAGGTCTCAAATATCTAAATATCTATGTAAAAGTTAACTGAAAAAGCTTTATCGACTTTTAAGAAGTTGTGTAGCCACTGACTTACTTCAAGGAATAGATGGACATTAAACACAATCCGAAGTTCAAATAAGGAGCCGTTTTTAGCATATTTAAGCAAGCATATTCCCTTACCCACCTTTCTATTTTTTGTACATTGATGTTAACTTTTAAATCACTCACTGCACTAACAATTCAATTAGGCCAAAAGCAGGTACACTTTAATAATATTTTTTTCCTAATCGTCATATATATTTTATATATATATTTTTTGATTCTGTTTAGGATTAAAAACAATCACGAGCCAATAGAGAATGAAGAAAATGAGGCTCCATTAGAATATGTGTCCGAATCGCAGGAAGAACATCTTCTATGAAACTGAACTAAATTTTTTATTTGAATTGCTCAATATCTGTTAATATCTGTCAACAGCTTTAAAAAATAAATTATTTTCAGTTTTTCATACCTAAAACACTTCACAGCAGTCAAATGGAAAGCTTAGACTAACTTTTTATGCTCAGTTTGCATCATATTAAAATGTTTAAACGAAAACCAAAAATTTAAATCTTCCAATGATCCGATTTTTTCGCAACACATCATTTTGTCAACTTTAACTTTGTCTATGAATTTGCTTTTTTTTAGTGCCATATTTTCTTATCCAATGTGGTCAATTTCTTTTGATATTTACTAATTGCTGCAAAAAAAATCGAGCCAGTTTTATTTATCCAACATTACGTATTTTTTCAACGCTAACTTTTTAAGATAATTTGAATATTGAATTTATTCTAATTCGCATCATTTATGAGGCTAGAAAATTTCTTTGTCTGCACTATGGACTTTTTTTCTTGCTCAGATGAAATATATTGATAAAAATTGATGTAAATTTATTCATCGCGTCGGAATATAGATATGCAGTTTTCTTGCTAACAATATATTTGCTTTTTAATGGAAGTTTAAGCATTAAGAATAATTTTTAGTCCAAATTGCAAATGCGATAAATTGTAATGAAATCTCATCTAACAAATTATTGTATAAAAATGGTATAGGATTTTGCCAAAACATTTTAGAAAAGCAAATATAAGAATATTATTATCACAAAAATAAGCCCATGTCAACTCAAACAAATTCCAAATAAATTATCGATAATACATCGAAAAACAATAATCTTTTTTGTACGAATTAACAGCATAAAACCGTAAAATGTTTTTTTTACATTAATAGTTAAGATTTTGATGATTGCTTAATGATAGGATATTACGAATGATAAACTTTAAATCCACAATATAGAGGATTGGAATAGGCTATAAATCCGTTTAATTTTTTTCTTATCGATTGGTGTCCTCATTCAGGAAAAATAAATGTCATTTTATATATTTTGTATAACAAAAGAAATATTTTTATAAAATATTCTTCAAAAATTTTTTGTCCATTTTATAATCAACAAATGATGAATTGGATGAAAATTTTGATTTGTGACCACTTTTCCTTTTTGAAACTTTCTTGATTCCACTGTTCCATTAATTTTTACTTCATGATATTCTAAAGTTTTTAATTATGCTTTAAACTTCTAACGGAATATCCATTCTCTAATATAATGGAAACATGAATTAATTTTGTGAAAAATCATCCTAAAAATTCTTCAGTTAGCTTTATTTATTTTATTCTTGTTAAAGTCTCTCAGTGGTATGTTTAAAAAATTTAAATGAATCTTTATTAAAAACTGGAAATATTGCGAATAAATGGCTGTCAGTTCTAATTAAGCGTATTTATAAAATTTGTCGAATCGCAATTCGTAATGCATTTTATATTCTTTAGTTATCAGTTAATCATAATTAAATTTTATATTAATGATTTTTGCATTACGGCCGAGTGATTTATATTGATTACACCTTTTTAATTCAGTCTTGACCCTCAACGTTATCAGTTAATCATAATTAAATTTTATATTAATGATTTTTGCATTACGGCCGAGTGATTTATATTGATTACACCTTTTTAATTCAGTCTTGACCCTCAACGGAAATAAAACGTCTCACTGAAAGTTAAATCGCGGTGGCGGTATGGGTGGAAGTGGCTCTCTAACGAAAGAATCTTATCCTAACAGCCAGTATGCGAATTTATTTAAAAATAATGAATGTTGAAACAATTAATGCAGCGGTATTTTTTCCATATACTTATTATCCACATGTAAAATAATTGAATGCTTACAAATATTATTATCCTTGTCGGTCAGTACTATTGTAAATACGTTCCAATAGTTTTAAATCCGGGCAACAAATTCCTTTATCTTTTTTTGTCGATGAGCGTTTGTATTCACAAAAAAAGCCTTCCGGACAACCATTTTCACAAGTATGCACTCCATATGCAGCCAGGAGGGGGCCTTTTCCATCGCGGCATTTTGGAATTTTTCCTTTCAACTCGATCTCCTCAGGTAACAAACCTTAATGAACAAGATTTTGCGACAAATTAGAATAAAGTGCGGCAAAATACATCAATGTAACTGTATCAATTATTGTATCATAGTAACTTTAAATAAGCTAATTTTCAGATTTCAACTATTTTATAATCTATCTACATTTTTAAACAAATCCTGTTGTTCATGTGTTCGAAGAATGAAAGAATGCAATGTATTTTTATAAATAAAGATAAGATTGAAAATATGAAAAATTTGGAAATAAGTATACGACTACCAACCTGCATGAATGGAAACAATGATAAATGAAAAGAAGAAAGCGAGAAACATGCCGGAATGAAACGTCGATGTTCTCTTTTCGCGTTATATAAATGCTTATATATGTCCATAAAATTGGATCGTTGTTGTGACGATCGCAGTAGATCGCAGTTGAATCTTCACCTTTTATAAAATTGGATCAGACAATAATCCAAATGAATCGTGATTTGCTCATTTTGCTTTCTCATATGAAACAACTATCCCATTGTCTTTGCCTTCACTGAGAGATCGCGCAATTTGTCTGGCTACCGATTATAATTGTCACAGATCACTCGATAATAGTTTTCATATGAAAAGAATAAAAGTTAACAAAGGCAATTGTTTAAATGTTTTTGATTTATGTCTTAATGTTAACTTGCTTGCCAATTTGTTAGGCTTGAAAGAAGTCCTTACCTTGTTTATACGAACAGAGATAATAAAAAATTTTGGCCCAATTAAATTAGAAATGCAAATGGATTTTTTAAAGAGATAACAAGAAATATAAATTGATTAAAGACGGTTTTCGAAAGAAATTCAACGCATCTTATTTTTTAGTTTTTATCCGATAGAAAAATTAATTATTATTAATAAAATATAGCATCTGCAAGTTTTTTCCTTAAAATAATCAACAGACGCATCCTTATTGTCCAAATCATAATTCACGCAGTGCAGTGAACAATGGTGCATTTAGTCGTACCATGAAAATTCATTACAATAAATACCGATGAAAGCACCAATTTCTTGAGTCCAGATAATTTTTCAATATTTTTTACAAAATTTTCCTGTAATTGGGAAAATGAAATCGGAACATTATCTGACATTTTCGACCTAGAAAAATGCGATTAATGAACGCTGTAAAAACTCGATTGTTTGAAATAATAAACCGCAATAATCAGACTGAATGCTGGATTCGAAATTTTCTTTAATGGAAAAGACAATTTTTTCTTGAAAAAATTTATAAATCATGCGTAATTCATGTGCATGATTAAATTAAAATAAACTAATTCGGGTAAGTAAATGTTTCTGAAGTTCTGAAGCAGAAAGAGACAAAATCTTGACATTGATTTTGCTTGTATGGAACTTTTCGAGCTATCTATGGTAAGATTCATCATTGAGATAATATTAGGTCAAAATATCGTATCTGGAGCGAATGTATTTTTTTGTATAGTTTAGTTTTTTTCTTTTTTCATGTTTTTTTAACAATGGAACAATTTTTGCCTTTTTGCAAATATTTTTTTATGCCGCATGAAGAAAAAATGTGATCTTTCTTAATTAAAAAATTTTTTATAATTTTCTGAATTTGCCAACAGGATTCTAAATTCTTAAAAAATTTTTTAAAATTTTTAAAAATACTTTTAATATTTTATGTCAAATATCTTATAAAAAAAATATTTCCAAAAGAGCTGCGCATAGATTTTGTTTCGAAACGCTAATGGCTGATCTCGAAGAAGAAATAAAAGCAAGTCTAGCAATTTGTAGTTGTTAAACAAATTTAGACCTGGAGAATTAGGGAAGAGTCAAAATACGAAATTTAATTATTTGAAATATTTTAAAATTTATATGAAATGTTATGAAAAATACAAAAAATACACAAATACACAATTCACTTGTCAGTTGACCACCAATCCGATTTTTGGATGAAGACAATTAGTCTGAAACTGTGAATAGACGATTGAAAATTGATATTTTCAGTGGAAATGTAATGTAAATTAGTGACGCACAAGCATACTACCTAAATATCTAAATAAAATATGCTAATGCATAGAATGCAGATTATATCTTTTTGGCTTTTCGCAGCTTTTCTGCTTTGGCCAGATCACTTGAATATAAGAATAAACTACGGCTATCGAACAATGGTATTTATTGAACCGCATCTCTAAATATTAGACCAATGTACCATGGCGAACCATCGTTAACACAAATGATTATTTTTGAAATTATACTATTTAAATGATTTTCGATTTTAAAAATTACACGAATAAATGAAATTTTGAGATTGAAAAATGCATCAAAATAATTCAAATTTATTATTATTTTTCGTCTTTAGCAGTTAGTTAGGTAAATGGCTATGCATTTTTCTGCTGCCCAATTGTCAATTTGTTGGTTTTATTTTTATTTTTCATATGAACTCATTTAATACTTAAAGGTTTGCTCGACAGTAAAAATATTTTCCATGCTTTATAAAAAATGATTTTTTTCTTAAGCGAATGAACATGTGAAGGATCGTCAGTTTTGTAGGTTCGGAACACGATGCTGAGGTACTATTCCCCGCAGGAGTAAACCTGTCTAAAAATCCGAATAATGCTGGTGACTCGCCCATACTTTTATTGCCAAGGGACTGCCTGGCATATTCATTTATTGATAACCAACCAAGCAGGGCGACAAGGCCATGTGCTTGTATTAATAATAACAATTAAGATAACAAAAAAAAGAAAACACAAAACAAAAAAAAAAAAAAAAATAACATAAACAAAATTAATTATAAAACAATATGACAGAAATTAACAATTTAAAGAGGAAATTACAGATCAATATAATATAGTACAATTCGAGGTAACATTTGCAAGGCAGCGGAGCGAGTTTTACCAATAATAGTGAGGGCTTTTAAAATTCTCTTAAAAAAAGAAATTTTATCGGTGAAAATTTGGTTCAAAATATTTCATCAACTAATAAGAGGTTATTGAAGACCAATTAATACTTGGATTTTGAAAGCAAAGGCAGCCCAGCGATAGTTATATCAGCTTAGACGGTAAAAAAAGTTTAAAAAAGGAGTGGTATCGGATGGGGAAATTAGGAAAACCGCTTAGTTGCCAATGCAGCCAGTCAAACCGGTAATAGTGCGAGAAGAAATAGTCTGTAAACAAAAGCAATTTTTCATGCGCATTTCATCATACCATTTTAATTTTGCAGAAGAATGATAAAGCCAACGGATCTTCGAAAAAATTTATGGATCACTTCTCCAAATAATAAAATAAAGCACACAAAGAAAAATAAAATTGAAAAGTAGTGTTGAAATATCTGTGATATCTATCGATAGCGAAGAGCTAAAACTAATAAGGTTATCAATAAGTGAAGAAAAATGCTAATTCTCAGAGTTCAATGATTTAAATTTCTTCCCATCCAAATCCCTTCACGTACTGTATGAAATCTGTCTATGGAATCCAGTTTAGGAATTCCTTAAATCACTTGAAGTAGTAAATGGCTAACACTTAACATTTCTGCTTCTGCTCGCTTTTCAGATTGGTAGTACGAAAGAAACAAGGTTCTCGTTAGAAACAAATTGAAATATTAGAAAAAAATTAGAAACGTTAAATTCAAACTGTAAGTGGATTAAGGGTATACAGTTAAGTAGTAAATAAAACCATGAAGCTTCCTTTTGAAACTCGGCAGATCCAACAAAAACGACATCACTCAGACAACTTATTTCAATAGTTAGATTAAACGATATTAACCTCAGAAATCCTTTCATGCAATTTCATTCCACTATCTCTGGTAGAATTGTCATTCAAAAATTAAAACATTTAAAATCATTCCAATGTGAACAAGATTATTTCAATCATCAAGAAATCAATTCCATTATAATAAACAGGAGATTGGAAATTTATAAAAAAGTAACGAGGAAAAAAATTCGAAATTGGTTCTAAAGAAAAAATAAAAAATTTCGATGATTAATGATTCCAACATATCGCAAAAGTAATCATTTAAAGAGGCCACCATTTCTATTTGGGTTATCATAGATGATGCAAAGTTAGCCTTTTTTAAGAAGTCAAAACCCATATTACTTTCATTACTCAGTATAGCACAAAACTTTCAACAAATTAGAAAAACTCTCTGTCTTCTCTTGATCCAAACTTCTAACTGATGTCGTTGTCACGGTCGTAAATATTTTTGTTCGACTATTTTCAGATCGGTTGCAACATATTTGCAACATATTGGCTTGCTTTAATCTTGCTGAACTCTCAAACCAACATCAGCTGAAATTTTATGATGCTCCTTCTTATAAATATTTTACTAAGTATGCAGAATCGGGACACCCGTATATGCCAGTACTGACTATGCGAACTTCAGCACATGCGGCTGTTCTTTCCTACTATGCCTATGCTTAATAAAGAAAAATTTAAACTAAACTTTTTTCAAGACTTTGTTGGTCAGTAAAATTTATGCCCTAATCTGCTTATTTATCCTGAATTTAACCAAGATCCTCTCAAATTTTCTGGATTTGGTGCCTTTCTCCCTAACATCAATCTCGATTTACTCTAATCAGTATTAGCTGCACACGGCTTCGAAATAGTTTCTTGTCGTACTTCATATTTATCTGCTAGTAAGTAAATTGTAATTCTAATTCTTCAATTATCCTTTACAAATCTGTTCGACTTTATCCCATGGTTTCCTTAATGTTGTAGAGACTATAACGGCCAAGAAAAACAAAAATCTCAATGAACGATAGATAGAAGCTCAACCAGTTAATGAATAGTTACTTTATAATAATCTCGCATAAAATTCCAAATGCAAATTTTTTTTCAATTTTTCTACATTTTTGCATTTTCCAGTAGAAATGACGAATGCAAGCAGATCGGTCGGTATGCTTTAATATAACAATTTGCTGCGTTAATGGGTGCATTTGAAAAAATTAGGCAATAGAAGTCACTCAACTCACCGCACGTCGTTATGAAATGGAATTTTTTGATGTCTCCAAAAAAAAATCTTTGCATTTTTTCTTCTTCAAAAATTTCTTAAATTCCGTTAAAAACCTTCTTAACTCCACCATTGTTATTTTCTTCAGTACCTTGGGTATTATCCATTTGCTGCATAACTCATTGGTAACGTCCTCTTGAGCCTGTCCTTTCACTTATAAATATTCCCTTAACAATGCCCTATTATTCTCTTTTAATAACTCTTAATGAAACCCAATCTTTTTGCTTTAATTCAGTAGCTGTACTCTTTTACCAGTTAATGCTCCAATGTCAAAACCAGTCAACATTATAGCCGCTCAAAACCCGTTCAAACTCCATTATATTCTACTAAAAATATGCGAAATATACTCCTCTGTACTCTTCCTCTTCCTTATTATTAACACCTTAAATTCAGTTAATTCTCCTTTAGGTTTTGTTTTACTTCTCCTAACAGTCCTTCAAACTCCATTAGCTCTTTAATATCATATGAAGTTCCATCATGCTTCTGGCCCTTTTATTAAAGCCGCTCACTGCACTGTGATATTCTATTAACTTATTTCCTTTTTCGTTTTATTTGAATTTTATCTGAAAAAATTTACCTTTTCTTTAAAAAACATTTGCTTTTTCCACTTATCCCAGATTTCTACACCTTCTTCCCTGCTATTAAACATATATATCGAATGCAACAGAGAAGTGATTAAGAGAAGTGTCAGTGAAATAAAATTATCAAAAAATAGTTTATTTCTGTTTGACAGCATGGTTAGGAATGCACTGTGATCTGAGGGAATATCAAGCGAGTATAACGGAGTCTAATGTCATTTACTGGTGCTGATTTTTGCTACTTCGGTATGCCGAACAGAAACGGAGAAATATAGTGTCCAAGTAAACGAGCGCAACAGGTTGAACTAACGTTGTAAGCTCATATCAGTAGCTGGACAACGAAAGCGATAACCGCGCTACCTTTATAATCTTCTTGCTATCATTTCTTTTTCTTAGACCTTAATACTGAACCTGCCATTTCTAGGCAGATATTATGATATTCTAAGATATTGCACACTTGAAAACGTCTATACTGTATAAATATACCTATATATCCTAATTCCCATGTTTATAAATGATAAAAACGTGCAAATGCCCGCAGGGCTATAAAGAATGTATGGCAGCATTTTTTCTGGGCGGAGCTAATGCAAGTTGCACTGCGTACGATTTACGGTCCATATGGACTTTTCATCTGCTCAACCATATTTTCGTTTCCTTTCGTTTTGTAGGGGTGGATTTTTTTGCGAGGTCATCCGAGGTTACTCGAGGGGGATTAGTTTGTTTCTATTGTTTATTTGTTTTTCTTGCCAATTGATGGCAATTTTTTTCTACAAAGAACAGTTTAAAATAATTTTTATCGCCAACAGCTTTCTTTTTTTCAATTATTTTTTGCAGTTGCTTTGTAAAGAATTTGTTCTCGATGAATGGTTGCATAAGAGAGCGAAAGCTAATTGTCATTGGTAGCGGACCAACAGCAATCGGTGCTTTATATCAAATTTTTTCGTTAATCGACGAAGGAGTCTTGGATAAAACGACTCTCAAGGCATGTGTGATCGTTCTGTCGAGTATGCTATATCATGCTTTAATTTTTATCTTCAGAAATTTCAATTTTTTTCGTAAATTTATTTTTTTAGCTTCCAAGTAGTAATATTAGAAATCAGTTCGGTTAATTGTTAATTGTTTGACCATGCTAAGCAAACAAATCGTCTGTAAAGAGAGAGTGATCGTGTAATTTCGCGGCTTCCGTCCCCACTGTTTCATGAGGGTATATTTGTCATTAAAAGAGAAATTCTGGTAGTTTCTGGAAATCTTTGTGCATTTCTTGGTGCCAAGCTACTCTGGCTCTTTTCTTTTCCATTATTACTTTGTCAGTTATTTCTAGCATTAGAATACCGCTATATTTCATATCTTACTTTTCTTTGGTATTATTTTCTTCCACAGTAGTATTATACAATTTCTAGGTGATTGTTATTGAAAAGGAAGGTGAAGTGGGTGGTTTAGCGAGATCAGTTACCGATTCCAATGGATTTACGTGGGATTTTGGAATACACGTTACGGGTGTTTCACGATACAAGGAATTTACGCGAGTTGTTGATAATGCAGTTTGCCAATGGAATAAAATTAGAAGAAGTGTAAAAGTAGAATTTTCATTCTTTTACATGTTTAATTTTTTTAGTGATTTCAAATTCCGTTCAATTTTTCTATTCAATTCATTTAAATCTAATTTGCAGGTCGATCTTTCTGAAATTTGTTGTGCTAAAGAGGCACATTTGAATTACGTTCCATATCCTGTTCAACATTCAATTCCTTATTTCCCTCGAGAAATTAGGAAAAAATGCATTGAAGAATTGAGATATTTAAATGAAACTCCAGATGCTAAAAAATGTATGAATTTCGCAGAATATTCTTTGCAAATTTTTGGAAAATCTTTGCAAGATATTTTTATAAGACCTTATAACAAAAAGGTAATTTCTATATCATTTCTTTTTTTTTTTTTTAAATTGATTTAACTGTTTTTATTTTTTAAGTTGGAATAGTTTAAAAATAGTTTAAGTGCTGCTTCTTCTTATTTCTTTTTCTTTTTTACTTTGTCCTTTCATTTTATTATATGTTGTATTTTAATGAGTTTTTTTGATTTTTTCCTTTCAGGTGTGGATTGTAGATCTAGAAGAAATGAATTGCTGTTGGGCATCTGGTCGAGTTCCAAATATCGATTTGGGAAAAATTGAGTCTCATTGTGGTAAAACTCGAGACGAATTAGAAGATGAAGCTGATCGAGCACCTTTTATTTGTTTCAGGTTAAATTTATGCGTGAAAATATTTATATATTTATACTCATTTAAATATTTTAATATTTATGCTCACTTTTCTTTTTAAACCTATGATTATGAGTACATTGAAAGTGGTATCATTCGAAATCTAACTAAACATAAAACATTCATTCAGATATCCTAAAGAACTAAAAGGATGTGGAAAAGTGTGGAAGATCATCGCCCAATCCTTTCCATCTGAAATTTTTCACTTAAATGAACGAGTTGTTCGAATCGACTGCGATGAAAAAATTGTATTATTTTTTCAAATAATCTTCATTTTTGTACTTATTGAAAAATGCTATTGGTGCTTTAATAAAACTAAGGTGAAAAATAATAACATTAAATAGTAATAATAATAAAAAAATTAAAACAATGGTAAAAGTTTTTTAAAATTAAATATTAAATTAAATTTTCGAATTTTTCGAAATTAATTCATTTATCAGTTATTGTAACTTTTTAATGTTGAAATATAGGTACATACCATTGAATTAAATGGAACAACTCATGTATATGAATATGATTTTGTGTTATCGACATTACCTATAACGGAACTAGGACGAATCGCTTCACTTTGTGGCAAAATAAATCTTAAATATACTAAGGTATTTTTTATAATTGTAAATTTTTTTATCATTTTTTATTTTATTTTTTCGTTTTCGTTTATTTATATAGGTGCATATTCATTTTCGATGAACTTTTTTTGTGTAGAGAAGTGCATTTTCATATTCTTTAAGTATTTACCACACAATATTCCGATTTTTTAAAATCCAACCTTAATTTTAGAATTTTTTTCTGTAGAATATTCGATTTTTCTTGCATTGTGATGATTTTTTTATTTTTCATATAAAAAATCGGAAATTCTTTCATCTAAAATGAATATACATCTAAAATTATGTCCAAAGTAGTTGGTTTTAAATAAATTGGTTTTTCAAAATTTATTTGACAAATATTTTTTATTCCGTTTAATTATTTATGGTAGGAACTTTTAATATCTTTTAATATCTTTTTGGTAGTTATAGGTAGTTCTGGTTGGCATTGGTGTCAGTTGTCCACAACCTGAGTGGACTCAGACTTCTAGCTGGGCATATTATCCTTATTCTGATACAGTTTTCTACAGGTATAGTGAAAAGTATTTTGTATTTATTTTAATTTATTTTAATGCTTTTAAATCTGACAATGAGATATGATAGAATGGCTCAGTGTGTTGTTATTTTCATTCCCCAATACCATTACCAGAGTTCCAGTTTTACTCCCAGCGAGAAATAAACCTTTTATAAATCTGCCGGCTTGTTTTTATATCGCCAAATTCGATCAGCAAAATCTGATCCGATAGGGCAGCAGGACAAGGTTAGTATCAAAATTAGAACAAAAATTATCGGAAACTGTCTTATTTATTATCAAAACAGGATTTTGCAAAAGTTTTTTTATACTTAATTTATATTTTTGAATCAGTCAACGCTTCGATTGATCCAACTAACGTATTTGATCAACATAATGATCAGTCACTTCATTTATCATCGAAATATATTTATACTTAACATTACTTAATACTTTTAGAAAAAAGATTTCAGGTGTACTTTTCTTTCCAATTTCAATGATTATTTGACTCCTGATCCAGATCGCTTTTGGTCAGTTTTGTGTGAAATAAGTCTCGATGCAGAAGAAATCTTCAGTGAACCGCATTTAATAGCCAAAACTGTTGAAGGTCTTGTTTACTTTTATCAGGGTCAGGTATCATTATACAAAATCCCTAGGCGATAGAGTGGCTAAGTGTGTGATTATTCGGATCGTCGATGCTGAGGTTCATTCCCCGCAAGCGTAAATTTGTCCAAAAATTCGGGCTATGATGCTGGTAACTCACCTGTACTTTCATTGCCAAGGAGTACTCCCTAGCTTTGTCCAGTGTTCCAGCGGAGCGAGTTTAACCATTAATGGTGAGGATTCTATTAAAAAAAGCAAAATCCCTCGCCTTAAGCCATCTTTGGCATCACTGATAGATATCTGTCACAATTTATCTCGCTTTTTTCATTAATTGAATTAACCTTATTCTCGGTAAAATATTTCAATTGTCATTAAAATCCAGTGATTTGAAGTCCTTATTTCGGTGAAAAATATTTGTTATTTGGGTTATATTTTTTTTCTATGACCAAAACTTGTTTTTTTAAAATGCATAATTTACCCAGAAAATTGGAGCTTAATTATTTGTTCTTCACATCAACATCAGAGAAACTGGTCCATCTAGTTTTTTGCTTCTACATTTAGCTATTAGTTATATAACAGTGCACCTCGCAGTTTCTTTTTTTCTAAAATTTTTTTTCGCAATTTTTTCTGAAAAATTTTTTTTATAAGAATGACGATAAATCAGCTAAAGAATTTATTCACCGTCTTTAATTTGCAGTCTAACTATGTTATTTCTGTTTTTAAGGGTTGAAGATGAAGGGAGTCATAAATGAAGAAAATAAAATCGTGGATAAATGGATATGCGTATTGCCGTTTGGGTATCCTATACCGACTGTTGAACGAAACGAAGAATTAAGGCGTTGTCATAAAATATTTCAAGTTTGTTTTTTTGTTATTTTGAGCATCTGATATTTGAAATTTTGAAATAGAAAATGTACTTCAACACTGTTGAATGTAATAGTATTATTTATTAGTTTTATTCTCTTAAATATTCAAAATTTGAACTTCTTATTCTTCAATTTTGTGCACACCGTTTCAGATATTTCGAAAATTAATTACAGGAGAAAGCGTTATATTCTCGTGGTCGATTTGGAGGGTGGAAATATGAAATTTCCAATCAAGATCACAGTTTTACAATCGGAATGCAATTTATCAATTATCTAATATTAGGATATAGTGAAACACTTTATACCTTTTAAAGTTTTATGTTATTCATTTAATTGCTCATAAGGTTCATTAGATCGTTTATGATCCTTGAAGATATCGAGTATTTACAAAAATAAAAGTTTTGGTAAGATGAAAGAAAATGAACTTATCTAAAATTTGTTTCTGAATCAACTGCGTTTGCTATAATCTTCAGTCATATAATTCAAAGTCGTTTTGATTTGTTATTTAGATGAGTTTTAGATATTATTTAGATGAATTTAGCAAATTAAAAAAATCCATGACTAGTGGCGCCAAGATTTTTATTTTTGATGATTGAAATGATGAATATCGGATGAAATTTCATAATTTTATTACAATAAATTTCCAGAAAAAATCCCTCAAAAAACAAAATTATAATATATAATTTAAAAAATTATAATTATAATAATTTCCACAATGAGCAAAATTATGACTGAAATTTGGGTATGTCTTTCTTTTGTTTTTGCATTTTTTCCTAATCTGAATAACCTAAATGGTCTAATTTTTTTAAAAAGGAAGATTTTGCACACTGTTTTTGTCACCAAACGGAAATTATAACCACTTGGGGAGAAAAGGCTGAAAAAATATCTATGCACCGTTTAAGCTTGGTGCAAGAGAAACTCTAGTGCGAATAACTATTACACTAAAGATAGACAATAAATTTAATCACTCGGTTTTTCATTAGATTATCTTCAATTAAATTCCTGCACTAAGAATACCAGAGGTGCACTTTAGTTTCGTGAATTTTGGACGAATTCCTTCAACGGAGTTGCGTTAACTAGATGTGTCGGCATTTTCCAGTTGTGCATTTAGTGCGGCTGCTGACATCATTTGCAGCAGATTCTGAATGGAAATCATTGAATTCATTTTTATTTACTCTTATTATTAAAATCACTACTTATTAACGGGTCTTTCTGTAATATCTTTTTCTGTAATATCTTGTCATAGAGTTTACAAATTCTTATTTATCTGTGAGTGTATAAAGTTGCAGGGTTTTCCTGGTATATTTGTCTTAATCATTTTGTTAAGCCAAATTCGCATAAAACCTGTTGTAACGTCAGTGAATTCATCGGAAATAAAAACTGTGGATTGACTGGTTGGTTATCAGGATTTGAGAAGAAACTTGAGTTATCCGTGGCTTGAAAAATTAATCTTTATTATCTTTGAAATACTTCATTCTCTTCTTATGTTTTGTTGATAACTCAATTATTAAAATGAAATACAAATTTATACAAACAAAATTCGATTCCGCGGATGTCTCCCCATCGGATGTGGCCGAACGGAGAAAAACAAAAGAGAATGGCTCAGAAGGTTTTGCTTTCAGAGCGTTAAAAAAGGACTATGTGGTTGCAAATAGAAAAGTAGCGCAAAGTAAAAAGAACGATAATTGTTTTGCTAATTGTTAAAGATTACCTGGTAGAAGAAATGGTGTCAGTAAGGAGATATTGGTTTGGGAATTACTTTTAGCCTTCTTCTTTTGTAATTGTCTTTGGGCTGCAGCAACTCGAAGTGCTTCCTTTAAAGTCTGCTGCAGTGATAATGATGTTGCTCTATCTGAAAATTTGCACTATGCAGAAATGTAAAACTTCAAGAATAATTTAATTACTGTGAAAAAATATTAGCCAAAAATAGAATACTGGAAAATGGATGTTTAAAACTGAAATGCTAAATACTTTGGACAAAAAAAGCACGATTTCTTTCGTAGTTTTACGAGTGTTGAATATAATCATATCCTATTCAATTAAAAAAACTGAAGCCTATTTAACAAATGATTGATTGTCGTCTACTTATTTCATATATCGATAAATTCTCCATCGAACTTTGAGAACTAAATGTACAAAGTGCTTAAAAATCATTTCTGACGGTGAACTTTGATCAGTTTTTAAATACTTTTTATAAACTTTTTTCTTAAAGCAGTAAGGATTTGCGATAATTTAGTACGTAATTTATAGTTTATAAATTGTATGACATAATTTTAATGCAAAATGGAATGTTTAAAATTTCAAAATCACTTTCGTCACTAAATGACTCTCTGGTAAAATGGCATTATTTTAGTAGTCAATCAAATCAGAGATAATGAGTTCTAAGAAGAATAAGCAAAACTGAATGGATGCATATGCAGTACGGTTTTTTATGTATACAGTTTTTATTAAAATCGCTTCAGATGGTTGTTTTTCATGAAATAAATTTTTTTACTTATTTCAAATGGCAAAAATAAGGATTTTAAATCTCTTATGACACTCTTTTCGATTTTTTTTCGATTTTCGATAAATTTTCGATTTATTTCCCGAAACTATCGGCTAATATTAGTACCACTACCGTTGATTCGTTGCTTTTTCATAAAAAGTTAGCTGGTTCTTTTAGTTCCAACAAATGATTGAGAGCTTTTTGACAAAGAAGGCTTTTTATAAAGAATTGGCGTTCCCTAGTATGAAGCTCCCTTGAAGAAGAATTTCTATCTTTAAACATTAAATGTGTAGAACGTTGTGCAATGCAAACAAAATTAGATAGCAGCTGCCCGATTTGGTTCTGCCCCCTTCCCGGAAGTTTTTGTAATAAGAAGTCCTTTTCCTTTTCTCTTTCTGCCATTACACTGTTAAGTCAACCTTATTCCCTTTCATTGGCTTTTATCGACTTAAAGTATTCCTCTCAAACAATTGTTGTCCATTTGTGATTAACAACAACTGTCGCTGACCTCCGACCATAACTGGCATTAAAATTATTTTTCAACCATATGCGCCCTTTTGGCACCCTCATAAAAGTCGACCATACATCATTAGATTTGCCTGATCTTCAATCATTCCACTACTATTTAGACGCTATACATCAATTCGTATTCACATATGACCATTTTATTTCGGCTAATTACAGCAAATCTACTTAGTTGTTTCTTTTCGCCTATTAATAAATTCCCTATAACTATAGCACAGTACAATTTCAAAGAATTTCGTGGATTTGATAGAACATTAGCTTGCCACTATTAATTTCATTCTATACTTACATACAAGAAAAAATTTTTTACAATAAAGCATGCACCAAACAAAAATGCTGTAAAACGTGTCAGAAAAAAATCAGCAAAGAATTAAATCCAAATGAGCAACATTTTAAATACCTATGATTTTTGAAGATTCTGCTTTCAATTGGTTTTATTTCGTCATAAATCTGCTGTTTCCCTTAAGCTATGCTAATCAGAGATGACCTTCTGAATTATTTCTGGATGTAATTTTTAAAAAAGCCTTAATGTTGTTATCATCTACCAGAAAAGTTCGTTCTGTTTACAAATGCATCGAAATTAGAGAACTAGCATTAGTGTGGATGATTTGTAAAATGTGATTGGCATAAATTTAGATCATTCAATTATGTCATCAACTGAGCTATCCAATGATCGTAGAGCATTTCAGCAAAAATCTGAAAATTGATAAATGTGAACAAAAAGTAATTCAACAAACCTTGTTCTTTTTGTTTGTCATCAGCTTCAGCTTCATCTAACGCTTCGTGGCTTTCATCACCACTCTCTGAATTCCCATCAGAATTGCCTGTATCACCATTTGTGGTATTCGCACTTGCTGGATGCACCATTGTTGGAAGCTCAACGCACTGAAAATCCAAAAATTAACTAAATCAAATGAAAAGCTCATCCAAAAAATCCAAAAAAAGCTCATCAATAAAATACATGGGATTATTTTGGACTTGAAAATTGAAAATATTGTGGCAAATCGAATCCAAGTTATTTGGCAATGCAAAAGAAATTTGGCAGTATCCTTTAAATATAAATGAATTTCCGTTTGCTGAATAGTCACACCCTAACTGAAAATAAAGCAAAGAAAATTTCTTAATAAATTAGATAGATGAAAACTTCGCAGACAGTTTAATTTTATGTTCTCCGGTTGTGTTGGAAAAAAAGTTCCGTTCGTTCTAAATATAAAATTTTTTCGAAGAATTTGCATTATTTTTTTTAATATAAGCAAAAAATTAACATTTAACATAAAGAGAAATATTTTTAGCAAAAGATCTTCGACAAAAAATTCTTTCGATTGGTTTAAAATAAGGATATTTCTCTACTTCTAAAAACTTTAATTTCTTACTTCTTATATCACTTTTGGTCTCATCAACTAACCATATGGATGATACCAGCTCATTAGAGATTGTTTCTGGATAAATTAACTATTAGAATGATACCCGTTCTTTTCTGACTTTGGATAGGAATATGAATAAGCCTCCAGCCTTAAGTGGACTTCAATTTTAATGGGAAGTTTATTCTCTCTAAGGGGCAAAAAATGAGCATAAGCTTAACCGTGATGCTTAAGCTTAATCGAAGCAATATGTTGCTGAATGGCTATGATTTAAGGCCAAAGAAAATGTACTTCAAAAAGAATTGTCAAAGCTTATGAACTTTTTTGATGATCGTATTTCTTGGTTAAATAATTCGTTAAAAAGGATATTGCGTTATCTCCACCCTCATTGTTTTAGTTCATTTCATTACAAATGACCATTAAAGCTGCTAAATTCATCCTTTATCTTTTTTTTAGAAAGCGTTTTGATAAATCCGAAATATCATCACTATAATATTACCGAATTGGGTGATTACCCATATAAACCATAATATCACTATTGTCATTATAATCTTTTAATTCTCATTAAAATGAACAACAGCTGGTTCAAGTGATTAATGAAACTTCTGTTGGAAGGCAAGGAATCGCATTCCAGTGAAGTGTATAAATGAAAAAATTGAGATCCATGTTAAGTGTGTTTGTATTCACCTATCTATACCTACCGTATTGGAAAAGCAAACAAAGTTGATTATATTAGCAAAAGGTCTTGGAACAAGTTCTGGTTAACATTCCAAAATCACATCGAAATAAAACGTCTATACATTTTTGACTGTACGGATCGTCAAAGAATTAAAAATTACGCAAGAATAAACTTTAACTATCATTGTTATTGTTCCCTTATAAATGAATCTTTATCTTAGTTGAATCTGTTGAATTCGTGGTACTTGAATGTATTATTGGTTGGCATCCATTTTATTTTTTTATGGGAGTACTGGTTATGCAGAAATTCTTTTGCGTCCTTCGAACTTTATAAATTAAGTAAAATTTTTTTCATAACACACATGTGATTTTATTATTTACTTTTTACTTGTTAATTATTAAGTATAAATTTTATAAGTTTATCGCGTATATAATTTCACTGAAATTTTCCTGAGATTTTTCAATCGGAAATGATAAAACAAAAATTTTATGAAAATATGGAAAAAAACAAAAAAGGAGTTTCTAGAAAACTAAAATCGTTAATTCTTGTGAATTCTTTCGTCTTAGAAAAGGAAAAAAGATGACTAATTTATGCAGTAAAAATAAATATCATATGGTGCGTGCTTTTGGGTGGTGCAATGAAATGAAATGATGAGATTGATTTGGATTGTAAAGAATATTTGCTTGAAGCAAAATGTGAAGGCGTGGGCGACATGATTGGCGAAGTAAAATAGACTAACCCTGAAAAGAAGAGTGGCATTTTCAGCTAAAAATCTTTTCATCAGCAGCTCTAGCTGCCGTGTTTGTTCTCGAACTCGATTCTCATGCTCTCTCTTCAATATTACACAACAATGGCTTAACGCGGATTCAATAATACGCCTGCTTCTAGTTAAACTGGTTTCAATTGCTTCTTCTATATATACTTTGTCAGCAATTAAAACACAAAAGGTCATTTGTTACTGCTAAATAACTTTGCTAATTTTGCTTTCGTCTTCTTTCTCTCTCAGTCTTCTCCATCTACTAACGCTTCACACAAACAAATTTCTATACTCTTCGCAAATACTTCCAAAAATTACGATTAGGAAGACTTGTTGAAAAAATAATTTATGAACACTTAGAAATACAAAAAAATAGATATAAATTTTAGATAACGATAATTTTAGACTATTAAGCACTTCATGGGTTCTGAACATTTCCTCACTCTAATAGAATTTTAATAGAATTTTTACCTATATGCTTTCCTTTAAGAATGGGCAAAAATATTATTGCTTGAGAAGTGGGAACATTTACGAGATACGGTATCGTGGACATGCTCAAATGAAAATGAAATAAGAGGGCGGTGCATGTAGCGCACTACGCTTGAAAGATTGTTCTAACATGGTAGCATTCTAACTTCAGTGATTTCAACGATTTTACCTCAGAACATTTGGAAATAAAAATTATTAAAAGTTGATTAGAAAAGAATAAGTAGAATATTTGATGAAAATTTTATTTTAAAAAGTGGATAGAATAGATGAAAAATAATTGTTTGCAGAAGAATTATTTCATGGAATTGGGCAGACAAATCCCGTTAAATCCATGAAATCCACGAGAGCTCTGTTGAGATATTCATACATCCTGATTATTTTAATTACTCTCGTTCAATTCAATGCAATGAACTATTATTGTTATTAATGTTGTTTTAGAATGAATTTAAGAAACGTAACGGTGTACAGTATAGTTCAGATGAAAATGTGATTAAAAAATTTATGCAAGCAGCGATACTCGGATATTCAAAGTTTCAACCAATATGGAAAAAAAACAAAAAAATAAATAAAAGACCTGGAAATAAAACCTCTTTAAATAGAAAATTTACCTCGTTTAGCTTTCGCTTTTTGGAACTATTTTGATGTGGTTCAAAGGTAAATTCATGTCTGCTTCCAAGCGGATCAGTAGTTTCATCTAAATTTGTTCAATTTTTGGGTGAAATTTTCGATTTTCGCGTAAATCTTTTCAATTGACAAGTGCCTATAGCATTATAGACAACGAGCAATTTAACCATTTCTTTTAACTCATTTTATTAGAAATTGGACAGAAATTGAGAATTATAAATCATCAAATATTTCAATAGAAAGGAGATGTTTGTGAACGCGAGTCAACAGTGTCACATGGAAAATGTAGTTTCTCAAAGTTATGTGAAGAATGCGAAGCAAAAAGCATTGCATAGAGTAGGGAAAATCTGTGAATTGAATAAACAAAAGATTCAACAGTGGTACGAGTTTTTTAGATTATAAAGAAGGAGGGTAGCAACTCCTAATTCTTCTAAAAAAGCATTCGCGAAACAAATTAATTTAGTTTTATAGAATAACTCAGTTAAATAATTGATCAAAAATTAAATAATGCAACTGCTTTTTCCAGGCATAGAGTGATCGGAAAAACAAGCAAACATGGCCTTTAGGAATTCTTTTTCTCACCAAATTAACAATAAAGAAACAAATTAAATCATCCCTATTAATAAGGAATCCCTATTAATAAGAAATTTATTGCCATATAACTTCTACATTTACTATCCTTGGTGAACAATGAAACAATTATGCAAGGGAAAATGCAATATGCGAACTCGAAAAATGCACAGTTTCTATTTATTTCACTTCTATCTTAAGAAAAAAGAAGCGAATTTTTATAAATTCAGCCTTAAAAGTGAAAAATTAAACAGAATTTTCGAAAAAATGAGCCCAGAAGCGAGCTAAAAAAAGCAAATTTCAGTTTCCATTAAATTTTTTAAAAACGAAAAACGAATTTCTTGCGACATTATAAAATTGAAAAATGTTAAGAGAAAAAATGAGGAATTATACTTCATGAATTATTCTTAAATATTCTGATTTTATCATTTCTTTTAGATTAAATATCATTAACGTTTTTCCATAAAAAATTGTGATATTACTTGTGGTAAGGTAAGAATGTTATGATAATTGAAAAAGAAAAACCTAGATCCGGCGTATTAAGGCAATTTTGTATCAAGGTTTTTCCAGCTTCAGATGAGATCATTGGTTGAAGCTTTTTAGTTGCGAATGTATAAACATGGCCGGTTTCAGAAGCTACGAGTAGCATTACTTGAGTTCCTGTTAGTGTGGACAATTCATATGCCTAAAAATAAAGCAAATAATATCTTGTCGCTTAATTTCGATGAAATTTTTTTATCGTTTTTAACCGTACTCCCAACGTTAGGCTCAAAAATAGTTTTTCTATTTTTGTTCGTCAAAATTTTTTTTCTTTCATACTTTCTTTAGCCAAACTGATAAATTCAGACTCATACATTTTTTTCAAGTTTTCACTATTTTTGTTAAATGCAAATGTCAAAATTGGAGAACAGATAATTACCTTTTTCATAATTCCTGTTTTTCGTTTGCTGAACGTCGTGTACCTTCGTAATTTATTCCCAATGTACTCCATTTTGATTTTTACACGACCTGAATTGATTAAAATAAAACTCCTATTGGGTTGGCATTGCGAAATAAGGAAGCCTTTTTTAAAAGGCCTTTTTTTGGCTGAATTGGCCTTCAGCCTTTATTTACCTTTAGTTTTTTTTCCGTTCGGTAAAGTTGGCGTCGCATCATGAATTTGATGTTGGTGGTTTTGTGGCCGTGGAGAGCACTGCTCAAAATTGTCTTCCATCGCACCGCTGCTGGACTAGAAATATTTAAAGATTTTACTCAGAAAAAGAATTTTTAAAGGCTTGAACTTCGAATTTTTGCGGCCAAAATTAAATTTTATACGTTTATTGAATATGAGAATAAACAGATTTTCAAAAAGTTCGAAGGATTTAATTAAATTGGAATTTGTATTTAATAAGAGAAAATCCTACCAGAAATAGAAAATTAATTAGGTTTAGGTTTAGTAGTGCGCAATTTCAAGGCTACGTTAAGCACGGAGCAGGCAATGGATAATACGAAATTGGGTGAATAAAGTTAAACGATGAAATGCTTTTGAAATCCACATGTCTTTCAATACAAACTAACTTATTAACTTTTTTTGATTGTTTACATATTTTTCGAGCGTAAAAATAATGACAACTGAAATTCTCCTTAAATTTCTAATTGGCTCTAATCGAACATTTAGAAGAAGCACTTGAGACGAAATTATCGTGTAAACTTATAAAATCATCGCTGATAGCTACCGAAGCAAATTATAAATCTCAGCTATTATTATTTATACGGCAAGTACGGCGATGCAAAGTCAAAGTTTCGGAGGAACATCCTAAAGCTATAAATAGTAATGCAGTGGAAATGATTCAGCGAGCAATCAATATTGCTTACAGAAATGCTTTTTTGGCATTATTGTTTCGCGAATAACTACCGAAAAAAAGAGTTCCAATGAATTTCTTTGGAGAGATTTTCCAAAAATGGCCTCGAAATATCGAAGAAAAATACATTCAAATGTTAAAAGAAGTGAATTTTGGTAACATTTGCTGCAAATTTATTTAAATAATTTTTTTTGAAAATATGATAAATTGATAGATAAAGAGAATTATTTGACTTAATTTAAAACAGAATACTGATACTGATCACAGTTTGCAATCTCTATAGGACCCGGAACAGTTGACGAAAAAATTTGTGAAAAAACGGCAGATTTGAGGAATTTGCAATGAAAATTAACGTAGGAATATGCCAGCATTGAAAATTGGAGTTTCATTTTCTTAATTAAACCAAATAATAATTCAATATGTGTATCGAATGGAAAAATAATGAAGGCGACTTTAACACATATACAACCCAAATACCATTACATTCTTTATTTTTTCTTCCCCCTCTTTCCTTCTTCAATCTTCATAGTTACTAATTTTCCATCGTATATTCGGGACGGGTTTTTAGTTATCGTATTAATTTCCAACAATTATTAGCGCTATAAAAAAGGAATATCTACAGTATGACAAATAAGTTTCTCCATTAAAGCATTTTTGCGAAATTGTGACCGGTTGCTCTTAGAACAAGTTTTTGCACTCGGAATTGCACATTTTTGTGCTTTTATCTATAATTATCTCGATTTCACAAATGAAAGTTTAATTAAACAATCATTTAAATAATTTGTAAATAAAATTCCAATCTCGTTTTTAAAAAAAAATGGATGAAATTTTAAATTCATAAAGTATAATGAGATGGTGCTGGCAATGAATCTGCACTTCTAGTGGCTCCCTAACAAAATTTCTAACGGCGGGGTTGGACTTATGGTGAGTGCAAATCACTTTACGAGGAACAACGATAAATGAAAAATGATCAAGCTGCACATAAGATATAAAATTCTTAGTAATTTCGAAAATTTGAGAAAAAAGATAAATCGTTTTCGTAAAATAAAACTTAAAAAATTTGGCTATTCTCGTAGAATTAAATTTAAACTCAGAGAAATGCAAAATACATGAATGAACTGAAAAAGAAAGAGATTGAATGCTACAAACTACAAATTTTTTATAATAAAAAGAAGATTTAAGTCAGGTCAAACTTTTGCTTGTCGGCTTAATTTTAATAAAATTCCTAAAAACTATTATTATATTTTTAAACTGAATAAAAAAAGAGCACTTCGAAAAAAAATTTTCATATAAAAAAACAAATACGAAAAAAGACATTCATATAAAAATAAATAATACTTGGCAGTATTGAATAAATGTTATAGTAAAAAAGTGGCAGATTTTTACTATATCATCTAAAAGATTTAAAAAGATTACCGTTTGTTTCGGAGTAAGTAGAATGGATTGTAGCGGTGAATTGGAACCAGGATCGGAGAAATTAAGGTTAAAACAAGTTTCACCAGGAACCATACTCATCTTCGTACTTACTTGCTTGCTATCTTCAATCTAAACTGCACTACACTCACATACTTTGTATCCAGATTTAGAGAGAGGAAAAGTAGGCGGTGTTAATTTAGCTAATGCTATGATTGCTGAACCTCCTTACAAGAAGTCTCTTGCCTACTAATCTCTATCGTTCTCGAGACTCTTCGCTTTACGATAAAAATTTTCTTTTCATTTTCACGAACCTAAAACGTTGATGATATAAGTCCAAAACAATTGTGAGTGAGTCAGGTGTATAGCCGTTGAGCGCTTGTGTACATCAGATGATGATAATAATAAAAATAATGATTTGATCTATCTGGGAAATGAAACGAGTTAGGAGTAAATAATTATACAACAGCGCTTAAGGCACAAATCAAACAAGCACGCTAACTAAACGCATGACTAAATAAATGGTTAGCGCCCACTATTTCTGATTAGTTTGGTTCAGCTTACTATCATAAAGTTGGAAATTTTCGTCAGGGAATCACCTGGCGGTAGAAGCACAGGCGGATCGCCATAGCCATTAAGTTGCATGCAGTCGTTTTATTTAAACTGTTATAGACAATTTATTTCACGTATATATCTAAATAAAGGAACATGTACTGTAGCGCCCATCCATGTTGAATAGTTTTTGATTTACAGATAACTTCTGATACAGATAACTTTGATTTCTCTTCTGGCTCTAAAATAAGTTCAGCTCAATCCATTAATTTCTATTGATAGACCAACTTGAAATAATCATCCGTAAGCGAACAGGCGTCATTATCAAGATTTCCATAAATTATATGAAACCAAATCAAGTTTGGCAAAAAAAAGAATTCAAAAGAATTTAAAGAATTCAAAAGCGATTAACTCATTAATCCATAATTGGGAAAAATATTGAATGGCTATGCTGTGAATTTTTTCCCAAGCAAAGAAAATAATTAATTTTGACGATATATATAATTTATCGAAAACCTCAAGCTACTAAAGATTTTTAGAAAACCCAAATTTTCAGGAAAAATATAAGTAACAATTATTATAAAAATGTATAATATAAAATTATATATATAAATATTATATATAAATATATAATTTACTTAGTATAAAAATTATAAGTAAATTATAAAAAAATCTTAGAATCTTAGAAAAATTAGCATTAATTCGAACAAATGCATCCGAAATAAAAATATTTTCATGATTATCAATAGAAGAAAAATATATATATAAAATATAATAGGCATATTAATAATTATAATGAGGAATTTATAATAGGCATTAGGATCTGAGGAGATTTCGTAGATTGATGATTACATCACTCGAGAAATAAGATGATTCTTTTAAAGATGTATTGTGACTGAGTAGTGTTGATGATTGCAGTGATCGATCGGCTAAAAGGAATCCTTAAATTGTATAAAACTATTTTTTTCCAGAAATTCTTTAAGAATTTGTCTGAAAAATCAAAAAATAAAGATTGCATTTCAATGAGATTCGATATTTCGAGGAAGACCAGTTATAATTGATTATTGAAAAAAAACTTATAATCTAATCAAAAAAATTAAAAAATCAGAAAAAACTTTAAAAGAGCCTGAATCCATACAGCAATGGATTATCGGACGAAAATATTGAATTTGGAGCTTGAGGGAAGTTTATCTTAAATGGAATCCAACAATCAAAGCAATCAACATCCTCACTGTTTATTAGTTTTGGAAGCTGAACTTAATTGTGTAATATTTTTTCACTCTTCCTACATTTACATTACACAACAATATAAGACATAGCCTGAGTTAATAAAATGAGCTATAATAGGATCGTATAGTTGTTTTTCATGAATATAAAAATGTAAGAAGGGAGCAGTGCATTTCATGCTGAAATTATAAAAATATTAATCTAAAAAAGTACTATAACACTATAATTAAACAGCAAAAAAGTTCCCAAATAACCTCATCCTATTTGTCCTATTCAAATCCTATTTGAATGATAAATCAAGCAAACAATTTGTTGAAAGACAAGGAATACTCTGATAAGATCTTTTGCTTTAAATAGAAGTGGTCGAATTAATAAATGGAATTCTTGTTTTGTTCTGGATAGAAATTTGGCAAAATTCACCTATAAATTGAAAAAATTTAGTTCTCGGACAGGTTCAAATTAAATAAAATTAAGTGGTCAGTTCTAAATGAAGTAGTTAAAATAGTCGAAAATTTTTGCCAGGAAGACATTTGATGATAGGCGTATAAGTGAATCGTCCACATCACTTCGGTTTTTTAATTTTTTAATTAAAATAATAATAATTTTAATCCTGCAAGGAGTCTTCGCATTTCATCATTAATGCGATAATGACTATTGTGACCCCTAATTGATTTCAATTATCAAAATAAGAAGCTGTGGTGTTTAATAGCAATAAACCAATCACATATAATTCCTACCACTTTTTTGAAGCCAAAACGCTTGGTTGTTTGAGAATTATATTTTTTTATCATAGAATGGTAATTTTGATCGTGGTTAATGGGAAAAATTGTCTCATATAAGCTTAGTGGCTATGAAAACTTTTTTACTACAACATAAGTAAGATAGAATAAGAATCAAAATATGTGGTATGATTCCATAACTGAGCATTTGTTTATATTATCAGCAGCATCACTTCATCAATATGTGTATAACTGCCATAAATATTATTATTCATTACCAAAAAAGTTCACCCCACTGACAAATATACCAAAGCTGTGTTTGCATCTTTAAAAAATCTTATAAAAGAAATCTAGTCAGGATTCACTAACATTGAAAACGTGTATAAAATAACCACAGGAAAATTCGATTTACAATCGCCATTGAGATTGTAATTAAAAGTGCGAACTTCGAAATTGTGCTT